GTTATATATATATATATATATATATATATATTACAAATTGTCCCCTCTAAGGCCAGGTAGGTGACACCTCGAGAGTTTGATACTTTTACTTCGGAGTCACCTTGTCCACCACCTCAAACACTTCTATGTCTTTGGATTTGGATAATGTCGGATTGACTCGTATATCAATAATGATTTTTCCATGTTAATAATAAACTTATTTTATTAATAAAATAAATATGGTAACACACCACCCACACATTATATGAGACTTCTCACTATTGACGCGACTTGTATCAAACTCCTCCCATCAGTGGGTGTGCACTGTAAGCTTCTAAATTAATTTAATTAACTTTTTATTTCTAAACTAAAATACGCTTATTTATTTTCTAACTAAAATAAAATAAATACGCTTATCAAGAATTTTAATAAAATAAAATAATATTTCCTATATTAATACCTTTAAAATTTAAAATATTTCCCATAATACCTTTAAGTAATATTTCCTATAACAATAAGGCATAGTTTTATTATTTTTAATTAATACAAAATCAAAGATAGAAATTAAAATCTCATACATTTTTATAAGTCTTCCTCTTCTCCTATTTAGTTGGTTGGAATTATCATCTTCTCATCCATCTTAAGTGATCAAAGAATTTGATCGTGCCAAAAGATTTGTGAAGGTATTCTAAATAGGTTCCCCATCTAAATTAGAGAAAGAGTTCGATCGTAGGGAAAGATTTGAGGAGGTTTTCAATTCTAAGTAAGCTATTTAATTATTTCATATTTTAAATGATAATATGTTCTGTTATTAAGATTAATTATATGAATATATTTTTATGCATATTATATAATATTCAAATCTTAATTCACCTTCATTCATGAAAATATGCAATCGACTCTTGGCATAAATAATTGTAGAAATTCTATTTCTAACCGATGTAAAATAAAAATTTGAATTATAATATGATGTAAAATAATTAATCTTATCAATTTGATTTGTTAAGATAATATCACAAAATTATTATATTTTATTATTTTCAATTTTATCTATTTTATTCAATTATTTAGATGAACTCTAAAATTTATAACAAATAAAAATTAGATTGGGTAGTGTTGGAACTGACCCAACTCGAATCGAATCAAGGCTTGGGCTGGTTCAATTCCTAGTTATCCCAGTGGTTGAACCCAATTCGGGTCGCAGCGTGGGTGGATTGGCAATGACCAACGGCCAACCTAAGTCGAGGTAAGCATAATTATGTCGGTTTAGGCTTATTAAGCTCGGCTCAGTCCTGATTCGATCTACTTCTGGTCAGTTCAAACTCATTTTGGTGGTTTCAATCCGATATCATATCGGTTTACAGATCGATTCTGACTTGTTGAGTCAGATTCAAGGAGAAATTGAACCTAATTAGAATCGATTTAGCCTAGTTTAATAACAATTGGGCTTAGTTGGAGTCGGTTCAGTGTGTGGTTCAACGTATGCCAAATTCAAGATTGGTTGGCTAAGTCAAAGCATACTGAATTATGTGTATTCATGGTATATGAAACTCTTAATATAAATAATCAAAAATGTTTCACTAGTGATAATTGTCTTACGATTTTTCAGGGTTCTTCCAAAACTTTCTAGTTCCTAAAATTACTGAATTATTTTATTTATTTATTTATTTATTTATTTATATTCAGATAAAGAAAAAGATCGAGTCCTCTTCTCGAAGTTTTTATTTTAATTTATATAAGCAAAATAAAATATGAATTAATTAACGACGTTCAGTCAATGATCTGAATTAATTATCTCGATGAAGCTGCCAAGAGGCCGACGTAGCAGCGGCGCAGGCGACACCATGGCCTTCCTACCAGGTTTGCCTTTGCGCCTCCATCCTCTTCGTTCCATCTGCTCTCCTTCAAGATTTGACCAAAAAATCTGTTCTTTTTCTTTTGTCTGATGTTCTGCAGGGATCCCGAATAACCACCCTTTGCCGACTTCCTTTGTTCCTGTTGCTGTGGCAGCTCCTCCACGCAATTCGCAGATGAACTTTGCTCTTCATTGGCCAGAGCAGGCAGTCAAAGAGGCGATCGAGGTAAACCTGTTGTCTGCTACAATAGGAGATGAACTCTTACGGTGGAAACCATACTGATCGAGTCTTTGATCTTGCAGAAAGGTCGTGCCTTTAAAGTAACATTTCGCGTGAACGCATATGACCGGAAAGAGGTCAGTAACAAAGCTTGTTCTTGACTGTTCTTGCATTATTCTTATTGGATGTTTGTTTCTTGGCTGCTGCAGGCCTTCTGTACCGTCAACGGTCTCCCGGTGGACGTTCTCATTAGTGGAGCTGATGCACAAAACAGAGCGGTATGTTCATTCGGTATGTCTTTGCGGATCACATTTGCGCAGTGTGATGATTCATTTACGTTATTATGTGTAGATAGAAGGTGATGTGGTTGCTGTGATGTTGGATCCTGTTGTGTACTGGACCAAGTTGAGAGGATCGAATGATGCTCTGATCTCCAAGGCATCAACCGATTCAACTAAGAACAGGGACTCGGGAGAAGCTGCAAGAGCTTTGGGGCGAATACGTGCTACGTTGAGTTGCAATCCATCGAAGCGACCAAATGGGAGAGTCTTGTCTATCATCAGAAGCTCTCCTCGTCGTGAAGCAGTGATTGGACTTCTTGCTACGAATCCATGGTTTCCTGAAGGAGAAGAATATGAAAGAGAGTTGGATTACATACAAGTGATACCTACAAATTCCAAATTGCAAATGAT